AAAGGAGAGATTTTTATGATTGTTAAAAACTTTAGGGAAGGTTTTTGTATCGTACCCTATAAATAATAAAAACGATTACTAAATACCTAATTAATTAATTAATAATGTTATTGAGGTTGGTTTTCCCATTATTTTCGCTTTTGAGGTTGGTACCCTATAAAATAAGATTTTCACCCTTTTTTTTCGAGCTTGCATCCTGTGAACCCATGGGTTCATGGGAAGCGTGGACCCTCCAATAAGTGGCATACACGTCACATCATTAGTATTAATTAATAACAAACTATTGGGGTTTTGCCGTTGGCATTCATTTGGTTGGTTGAACCGGCCACTATCAGACAAAAAAGCCAAAACCCCTTCTTTCTCTTTGGTTGGCTGGTTGAAGCTTCTAAGACAATTTTGAATTTTCCCTTCCCTTTCACATTCGGATTCACCTCCCACAGTCCCACCCTCTCTCATCCGAACCTTATCCCATTACCAGATCACCGGCGACTAACATCAACCGACATCCGATGGCAAGAAATCAACCGACGATTGATGATAAATTCCTTTAATTTCTTCTTCTTCTTCTTTCTCTTTCCTCCTCCTCTTCTTCTTCTGTTCTCATTATTCTTTTTTATTTTTATGTTCTCTCAGTGATCACGTTGGGCTTTGTGTTTTATGTGCTCTCCATGATCACGTTGAGCACTGTTTGGCATCCATCATTTGCTCACCCTCAAAATTAGTGGAGAATTCAAGTTGTATCCTCTTCAATTTTTCCTGAGATTGCATTTTCTCTTTATTCCCCACTGGGCTTTAAGCCAGCTTTAGCTCGATATTCTTCACCTGGAGTATTATGAACATGACCATTAACTTCAATTTTAGGTGATGAGTGTTTCATAGGAGTTTGTTCTTGCTCAAGAGGCCTACATTCTATTCTTTGCAAGGAAGGGTTCACCCTGGTTTTCAAGTTTAATGGAAACACTGAAGTCATGCATGGACACAAACAGTCCTACCTCCCCAAAGTCTGTTCTAGATGACTAGATGTAGAGAGGTTGTGTATTCCACTTCTTCTCAAGGAAAATAATTGTGGAGAGGCCAATGAAAATGGTTTGCACAAATGATCCCATTCCACTTCCTCTCAAGGAAAACAATGAAATTGATTTGCACAAATTATTAGAATCATGGTGGTAACTGATGGCATTTCTTAGAGTGTGGCATGACTAAGTTGAAACTGTGAGAAAGAAGATACAAGATTGATCTACCCTGATTAATTAACAAAGGGATGGTTTAAAAGCTCCAAAATTTCTTGAAGGAAGTCTATGTTGATGATCACATTTGCAAGTTTGCAACATAACACTAAATTCTGGGCCGTTTTTGTTGTGTGCAATCTCATCTAGTAATTCACAAGGCAAAACAAGTTTAGAGCAAATCTACGAGAATGGGAAATTGGGATCTGATTCCTAAGCCTTCGGCTTACAAAGTAAAAGTGCACAGAATACTCTGATAAAATAGGATAACAGAACACTGTAACATTATTCCCAATGCCCATGTTTGTTTATCAGATAAATTTAGAATTATCAGAATGCATCCACCACAAAGACGGTATAGGAATTGTTCAGCGACCCTTGCGCTCAATTCTAAAATATAAATAATAAAACTAAGACGCAAGTCTAAACTCTAAAGCATTATATTATAGCGGAGGAATGCCAGGAAATTTGAATGAACTCGATCCATATAACACAAGACTGATTATCTCAAAAACACCTTACTAGTCTAACATAAATAAAGGCAATACCTGTCTCGTGCCAAAATGGGATCGAACAAGATGCAAACTGTAAGAGATTGCATTTCCCCATTTTAAATACAAACTAGTAACATATAAGAGCGGAAAGGTTTTTGTATTTCACTTAAAATAACAACCCACAAATTAAAATCTTATTTTTCTCTCTGAAAGAATTTCCACTCTTTTAACATTCACTACATTTTGATACTTGTAACAAGTTTTTCGAACATTCCTGAACTTGCTCGTGCTAGTATCTTAATGATGATGATGCAATAACAATTACAACTCATTCATTATAGGATTCTATCTAGAAGATCTGATATAAAGCTAGAAGCCAAAGAAGTGAGCTTCGTCCTTGTCTCTCCTGCAATATTAACCAATTAGGCAACAACTTGCCTTACCAAGTTGAAGGTGTCCCACCTGGCGACCTAGGCGCGACCTGGCGGCCTGGCCCAGGCGCGAACTGGCGGCCTAGCAGCCTGACCCAGGCGCGAATTGGCGGCCTGGCACAGGCGCCGACCTGGCGACCTGCGAGACGTGCTCGTCGACAAAATTGTCATGCATATTCTAACACTCCCATGATCCTTGAAAGTTGGCCCACGTGCTGAACGATCCGGAGGGTGGTCAACGTGCATGGCAGTTACCTTAGGGAATCTCGGACCACTTAGACGACTTCTCAGAAATCTCGGATATGGTGCGTGAAGCCCATGCTAAATAATGCCTATATAAAGGCACCAACCCCAATGACATGAGGGGGCAAGTAAGCATATTCTAGTTCTCATACTTTGTGATTTTTATCTCGTAGTCTACTATGAGAGTACTGACTTAAGCATCGGAGCAACCTCACCGAGTTAGCCACCCTGGGTCCTCTGACATTGATTCCTTGCAGGTCTCTAAAGAACTACGAAGCTCAACAATCAATCCAGCTCGGCCCTCTGGTCAGCTCAACAACTAATAGGCAGCTCGACCCTTTGGTAAGCTCGGCAACTAATAGACAACTCGACCTTCTGGTCTACTCGGCACCTAATCTGCCCCCAACTCGGCCTGGTCAGCTCGACATCCAGGTCCTCATCCAACAAAAGTTCACTTCGGCCTCTGAGTCATCGACCACTTGGAAGCAGACCAAATGACGAGGTACTTAGCACAAAAAATTGATTCATCAATTGGCGCCGTCTGTGGGAAACACTACAAAAAGCTAAGTTCTCATCATCTGAAAGACTAAATCCTCCTCTTCTAGAAAGCTAAGTTCTCACATTTTAGAAACTAAAAGCTCTCACTTTCTAGTTTTCATTTTTTATGAACTCAAAGACTATGCAGGAAGTTGATGGCCAACAGACTAAGCACCTCTATCAACTTTATTTCAACTCGGATAAAGCCTCATCAGTCCTCTTCGTGAGGTACCCTCTACAAAGATGAGCTCTTCGTGGCTTCTGCGGGAGTAGGCGGCCAACAGATTGCATGGATGCCCCTGCCGGTTGAACCTTCCAAGGCTCCCGTGCGAGCTGGTGACCTAAAGTCAGTAGTGTTGCCATCGTAGGTCGAGCTTCTAGTAGCTTCTTGAAGAAGTGGGTTACTGACGTCACTAACGAGGCTGATGCAGCGCAACTGTAGCTCTAAGGTGCCGAGCTGATAAAAGACCTCGACACCACATAAGACCCAATCGCCTCTTCGGCATGGGCAAAATCAAAGATCAAGGAGAGTGGACTACGAGTCGCTCCCAGAGCCTAAGGGCTAAAGTGCCGAACTGGCAAAGACTTCGGCACCACATAAGACCCAATCGCCTCTTCTGCATGGGCAAAATCAAGGGTAAGGAGAGTGGACTGCGAGTCGCTCCCAGAGCCTAAGGAATTGAATCGACGCTTATGAGCTCATCGAATTAGTCATTTCAGGCCAAAATGAGCAATCTACTCCCTTCGCCGAGTTACTTTCAGCTCGGGAGTGGGGGCAAATGATGAGGGCGGATTTGGCCCTCCAATGATATTGTGACACATGGCACCTCGGAACAACTAGGTGACACTCGGAACCAATTAGGCAACAACTTGCCTTAGCCAAGTTGAAGGTGTCTCACCTGGCGGCCTGGCCCAGGCGCGAACTGGCGGCCTAGCACAGGTGCCGACCTGGTGGCCTGGCACAGGTGCTGACCTGGTGACCTGCGAGACGTGCTTGTCATAAAATTCGGCATGCATATCCTAACACTCTCACGATCCGGAGGGTGGTCAACGTGCATGGCAGTTACCTTAGGGAATCTTGGACCACTTAGACGACTTCTCAGAAATCTCGGATGTGGTGCGTGAAGCCCACGCTAAACAATGCCTATATAAAGGCACCAACCCCAATGACATAAGGGGGCAAGTAAGCATATTCTAGCTCTCATACTTTGTGATTTTTAGCTCGCAGTCTACTATGAGAGTATTGACTTAAGCATCGGAGCGACCTCGCCGGGTTAGCCACCCCGGGTCCTCTGACATTGATTCCTTGCAGGTCTCTAAAGAACTACGGAACTCAACAATCAATCTAACTCGTCACCAGGTAGCTCGGCTCTCTGGTCAGTTTGACAACTAATAGGCAGTTCAGCCCTCTGGTAAGCTCAACAACTAATAGGCAGCTCAACCTTCTGGTCAACTCGACACCTAATCTACTCCCAGCTTGGCCTAGTCAGATCGACATCCAGGTCCTCATCTAGCAAAAGTTCACTTCGGCCTCTGAATCATCGGCCACTTGAAAGCAAACCAAATGATAAGATACTTAACACAAAAAAATTGATTCATCAGTTTGTTCTATAACCGACCTACAATGAACTCTAAATTGGAATGGGCGTGTGAAACGACCGAATCTTTTAAACTCCAAATCCAAATGAGTAGTACCCCATCACTTTGTTCCTTTTGTAGGGAAGAAATCTTTAAGTCAAGGACACATAAGAAGAACTGAGTTCGCAGGGAAGAAAAAGAAAAATGAATGAATGAATGAACTTATTGTCGATCGTTGGTTGGTGTTGGTCGCCGATAATCTGGTAATAGGCTAAGTTCAGATAATAAGAGAGGGTGGGAGTAAAGCTTAGTGTGAGATAGGAGGGTAAATTGTGTTTTGGAAGCTTCAAGAAAAGGTGCCCTTTTTTGTTTGTTAGTGGCCGGTTCAACCAGCCGAATGATGTTAACGTCCAAACCCCGTTAGTTTGTTGTTAAAACCAAGGCGACGTGTACGCCTCTAATTCTAACAGAGGGTCCACACTTCCCGTGGGTTCACAGGATGCGAGATCTTTTTTTTCCTCATCTCATCTTTTTCCCATCCTTCCAAAATCTTTCCTAAAACCAAACGCAGCCTTAATTTGGCATCCCTACTCCGAACCCGAACTCCTCGTATTCTGCCGAAAAGGCGAAGGCTCGGTAATGTCTAACGTCTAGCATGTAACTCGAAGTCTGGACTCTGGGACTGCTGCGGTGCTGCAGGCGCAATCCAAATCCGAAACGAAGAAGGTAAACTGCCACCTCCCGGCGACCGGTTACACCCAAGGAACAGGTGAGTCCTTCTTCTTCTACTTCTTCGCAAGGGTTCATATTTTTTCTTTCTGTGGAGAGATTCGTTCTTCATTTTTCAAATAATTTTTAATCAAGTTACAGTATTTTATCGCTTAAAGGTTCATATTTTGCTGACTTTTACATAGAATTAGGCATTTAGCTACGCTAATTATATTATATATAATCCAAAATAGAAAAAATTATCCTTTCAGTTCACAAAACGGTTTGACAAGTACGCTAAATCTAACTGGACTGCAAATACCAAGTCGAGTGGCTAGTTGAGTTTGTCCCTGTGGAACTTCTTTCATGGATTTCAGTAGGAAATAGAAATATGGGTTAATTCGAATACCAAGTCCAAAATATTGGTTAGTTTTTAAAATCAACAGAATACGATGTCAAAAGACGATCAATTTGAGCCTGATATCGTACATTTTCTGAGCATCTACGTTGACTTTATAGTTTCAATGTACAGTTACAAGTTGCAAATCAATTTTAATAAACCCAATTTTGTTAACCAAAAAGGAAAAGTAATAAACCCTATTTGGGAGATCGATAAGAGCGCAAAATGGGGGAACAGAACGGCATCAGGTTAGTCTTGTTCTATCAAGTTCATACTTCTGATTAGAACCACTTACTGAAATTTTGAAATTCCATTTTTGTAGCTCACCTCATTTCCTCATTTATTCGTTTTTTTTTGTGCTTTGATTCAACTGAAGTCTGAGCTATAGAGGTTGGCATATGATCCTGTCTGAGTTTTCATAAATTGACTTAAACATGCCCTAAGTTTTTGAAAAAGACTTATATACCTTGTGACTTTTTTATCCTTCATTATCTTTCAAATTTTCAAAATATGTCCTTAAATTTTCAAACTCATGTAATGTGGCAGTGCTGGCTGAAATTTTGTTCATTTCTCTATCCGTGACTTCATCTTATCTCTAACTCAGAGAGGGCGAAGAAACATGCTAGTGTTAGTATCTTACATTGTAAGATGCATTCTTTTGGGCAAGAGGGATGGAGCTTGAAAGTTGAAACAATCCCTTCTCTTTCAACCCATCAAATCTAGAATATCAAATGGAACGAATTCACTTTTCAATTTCCCTCCCCCCCGCTCTCTCTCTCTCTCTCTCTCTCTCTCTCTCTTCTCTCTTATTTCTTCATCAGTATTTAGTGTTGTTTCCTGCCCAAAAGGGAAAAATAGGATTTTAGGAATTTTAAATAAGTTCACATGCGAAGTTTCATTGATGGAGGGTCTCTTTAAGCCCCTTGGGTCAGCCCACAATGTATATTTAAGTTCTTTTGGAAAAACTAAGGGTACGTTTAAGTCAATTTATGAAAACTTAAGGTATGTTGTCTTTAATCCTTTTTTTCTTTTGGTTCAAAATAGTTTCTTGCAAACGTATAATGGAGTTTTTTCCTGCTTTTTTAACAGGCTTTCAAAAGGCCTGTTTTGATTTTTGTAATGATTTGTGGAGAGTGGGAAAAAGAGAGAGAGAGAGAAAGAGAAGAAAAAGAGAGGTACGATTGAGAGAAAAAGCATACTACTGGCTGCTGCCAGTCTTCTATTTATATTAACTTAATAAAGGAATAGAAATTACAAGTATGCCCCTGGCAGCACACCCTAGAACAAAAAATAATAAGAAAAAAAGACAAGTAACTAACTGACAGTATCCTAAGAAGTCAGTTTACTAACAACAACTATAAAGTAACAATTAAATAAGCCTTACAACACTCCCCCTCAAGTTGGGCTGAATATGTCTATCATGCCCAGTTTGTCACATAACTCATTGTGCCGCGAGCATGGAAGCCCCTTTGTGAGAACATCAACAAGTTGTTCCTTGGAGTTGACATAAGGAATGCAAATTTCCCTTTTTTCCAATTTTTCCCTTATGAAGTGTTTGTCCACCTCAATGTGCTTGGTCCTCTCATGTAGGACAGGGTTGCTGGCGATGTGTATTGCAGCTTTGTTGTCACAGTAAAGGGACATAGGACCATGAACAACAACTCCAAGCTCCCCTAGAAGATTCTTTAGCCAAAGGACTTCAGCCACCCCATGTGCCATAGCTCTATATTAAGCTTCAGCGCTTGACCTTGCTACCACACTTAGTTTCTTGCTTTTCTAGGTCACCAAATTTTCTCTCACAAATGTGCAATACCCACTAGTGGACTTTCTGTCATCCACAGCTCCTGCCCAATCAGCATCTGTAAAGACTTCCACCTTTAGGTGATTGTGTTTACTGAATAGTAGGCCTGTTCCGGGATATTTTTTCAAATATCTAAGAACTCTCTCTGTTGCCTCCATGTGTGGTTTCTTAGGAGAGTGCATGAGCTGACTTAGGACCCCAACGGAATAGGCAATGTCTGGACGGGTCATGGACAAATAAATTAGCTTTCCCACTAACCTTTGGAACTGTTTCACATCTTTCAGAGGTTCACCAACAGAGTCACCTAACTTGTGGTCTACATCCATAGGAGTATCTGCCGGCCTTGTACCTAATTTGCCTGTATCCTGTAATAGATCAATGGTGTATTTCCTTTGAGAGACAAATATACCATTTTCTGAGCGAGTAACTTCAATCCCAAGGAAATACTTCAGGGGGCCTAGATCTTTCACTTCAAATTTAGATGCAAGGAATTGTTTCAAGTTCTATATCTCTGAGCTCCAACTTCCTGTAATGATGATATCATCCACATATACTATCAATACAACAACCTGTTCTTGACATCTCTTCACAAAGAGTGTATGATCATACTGACATTGTTTGAAGCCCATCTGTTGAACTGCCATAAAGAGACTTTCGCAGCTTGCACACCTTATTTTCACTCCCCTTGGCACAAAATCCAGGGGGTTGAACCATGTATACTTCCTCCTCTAAGTCACCATTCAGAAAAGCATTCTTTATGTCTAGTTGATGCAATTCCCAGTCAAGATTAGCAGCTAAGGACAGGAGAACCCTAATTGAGTTCATCTTAGCCATTGGGGCAAAAGTCTCATCATAGTCAACCCCGTATACTTGTGTGTATCCTTTGGCTACGAATCTTGCTTTGTACCTTTCAACTGTTCCATCTGTCTTGTACTTAACCGTGAACACCCATTTACACCCCACAGGGTCTTTCTCCTTTGGAAGATCCACCAACTCCCAAGTCTGATTTTTGCGAAGAGCATTAATCTCCTCCTTCATGGCATCTGTCAATTCAGGGCATTTTAAGGCTTCTGCAACATTTCTGGGAACAAGGATGCAATCAACTGCAGATAGGAAGGCTCGATATGAGGGGGAAATGTGATCATAGGAGACAAAATGGGTAATGGGGTGTTTGGTAGTGCATGACCTGACTCCCTTTTGTTGGGCAATAGGAATGTCAAGGTCATCCACAATAGGAGCAGGGTTAGGGGGTGGACTTACCTCCTGGGAGTCTAATGGTGTCGGTTGCTCAGTGTTTGGCTACTCCATATCTCTACCACACCGCTGATCTCTACGACGTGTACGTTGGAAGACACGGAAGGGAGTAAGGTCCAGAATAGAAGGAAGAGATACCTGAACCTGCTTCTCCTCTTCCACACTACGACTCTCCCCCTGAGGAGAAGAAGGGAAGAATGGCTTAGACTCAAAGGACACATCCATAGACATAAAAACCTTACGACTAATTGGATCAAAGCACCAATACCCTTTTTGAGAGGAGGGATACCCTAGAAAGACACAAGGAGTGGACCGAGGGTCTAACTTACCTCGGGATGGAGACAAATCATGGACAAAGGCACGGGAACCAAAGACTCTCATGGGGATGGAAAATAAAGGAGACTGAGGGTACAATAATTGATGAGGGGCCATGTAGTTCAGCACTTTGGAGGGCATGCGATTGATGACATAAGCAGCTGCAAGTATAGCATCCACCCAAAACCTTTTTGGAACATTCATGTGTAACATCATCCCGCGAGTTACCTCAAGGAGGTGTCTGTTTTTCCTTTCTGCAATACCATTTTGTTGTGGTGTTCTGGCACATGAGCTCCTATGAATAGATCCGTGGGAGGCAAAGAACTCATTGAGCTCCCCATGGAAGTATTCCTTTGCATTATCGGATTGGAAGATCTGTATTTCAACATGGAACTGCGTAAACATCATCCTCTGGAAGTCTTTCACTATCTTTGGAACTTCGTCTTTACTACGCATAGGAATTACCCATGTATAGCGAGAGTAATCATTGATCAATGTGATAAAGTACTTATATCCGCCCTCAGAGATTACATTGGTAGGCCTCCATACATCAAAATACACAACATGAAAATGAACATTTGATCTTTTATTACTTGAGTGAAAAGTTGTTCTACATTGTTTGCTCAACTGACACGTTTGACACATGAACTCTGACACTGAACATGACTTAAATAAAACTGGAAACAAAGATTTTATTATTTCGAAAAAAGCATGACCTAAACGACTATGCCACAAAAAAATTGACTCTTATTTGACTGACTATGTGACTCTGAGGATGACACCGAGAGACCAGCTTTGTTGTCGAGAATGTAGAGACCATCCACTAGGCTTCCTCTACCAATCGTCCTCCTAGAAGTTAGGTCTTGAAAAACACATGAGTCAGCAAAAAAGGTTACACTACAGTTAAAGGAGCTTGGAATGCTATTAATTGAAAGCAAATTTATAGGAAGTTGAGGGACACGCAATACACAATTCAGGTTAAGGCCATGGGTAAGAGATATTGATCATTGGCCTGCAATGGAGGAAAAAGAACCATCTGCAAGTCTCACTCTATCCCTTCCTGACAAAAGGCTATAATACTGAAACAAGTTTGACTTACCGGTCATGTGGTTGGAGGCCCTTGAGTCAATGATCCAAGGGGAATCCATGGGAGTGACATGGAATGTAGAAGCCATATTACCTGAAGTAGATGCAAATGAAGTAGAGGGAGTACCAGTGACTGAGCTGTCCATTTGTCGCAAAGCCCTACTATAAGATTCTAGGTGCTCTCTGAAGGAATTCATTATATCTT